GTACTAAAAATGTAAAAAATAAAACTCAAAACCCAAAACTAAAACCATACTAAATAGAGTTTTAATTAACATAAAGTTGATGGAGTAAGACATCTAAAGGGATTAGAAGGAGTGAACCAACTAAAAATTGAAATTTGAAAGTTAGGATAAAATCCTTCAACAATTTGTTCAACGTTAAGTTTGTTTAATTTACTCGTGTGGTTTCTTTCATGATTTCTCTTGGTATGATGTTAGGCTACTACTTAAAATCATGCTTTAATGGCTGTGATTTTCAAGCTTTCTTCAGCGTCTATGTACTTCTGCAATATTTTTTTAACTAAAATTTTCAGGCAACTTAATCATGATTTGAAATTGGAAGGCAATGCATTTATCAAGAATGTAAACTATTCCATTAAGAAAATTTAGACAATGTCAGAAGTGTATCAATCTCAGTATATTGTAAGTTTTATTTGTTTAATACCCAAAAACTGTTTCAATAAGGTCAAGCACTTGAATTTATAAGCAATCTCAAGAGATTCTTATTATACTCCCAAATAAGAGATTCTTATTTGTAGGTCTCACTCATAAATGTATAGCATTTGTTATACTTTAAAATCTAGACATGACAATATAATATGTGTATATATATATATATATATATTTATACTAAACCTTCGGTATTCAGAAGCTGTATTGGGTTTTGACTAATGTAGAGTTGAGCTACATTATATCATATAAGAGAAAAGCTTTTCCAACTCTTATCTCCCAATTATAAGATTAAAACTCAAAACTTTATTTAAAAGGAATTGAGTTTCTTCTACTTAAATCAACAGATTGTTAATTAATGTATATATATTAATGTAAAAGGTTGAGCATCCTACTTGTACTCTAAATGAAAATCAATAATAAATTTAATGCACTTAGAGAGAGAGAGAGAAGTCAAAGTTGTCAAGGGGTTTTCACACATTAGTATGTGTGGAAAGTCTATATTAGCTTGTGGAAAGTGCAAAGAAGAAAGCTTGTGTTAAATAATACATGCATTAGTACGTGTAGAAAGTGTCAAGAAGAAAGCTTGTGTTAAATAATACATGCATTAGTACGTTAGAAAGTGCCAAGAAGAAAGTTTGTATGAAACAATAATTAACGTGTGGGAAGTGTAGAGAAGAAAGTGCAACGTTGCATCAATTGATGAGATATATAATAAAACATAATTTTTTTTTTTATTATTTGGATGTGTTCAAATTTTCGTTTCACTTGTGAGCTCTTTTTTTTTTTTAATCCAAAATTGCATAGTGGGAGATATCCTTTCTCTATCTCTTAGCTCTTTTACTTGCATATCATACAACTCAAAATTTCTTACATTCAACAAATGAAGATTGACATTGATTTACTCAAATTATTGGCTTCTTGTGAGCTTTCATTTGCCATAGATTATATATTTTGATTAATAAAAAAATTGACTTTGCTAGAAAAAAAAAAATATGGTGGTCAACTATGTAGTAATACTGTCAGGGGCCAAAAAAAATATGATAATTAATTTTTTTTTCTAAATATAATATTAGTTGAATATTTTATTTAGATAAATTTTTTTTATTTGTATATAAAGTCATCAAATTAGGCTCCATTTAGTATGATTT